TATCCTGCCTTAGGAGCTGAGAACCAAGCTGACCTACTGCGTGTTTCCTACCTCTGGAGAAGTCCAACAACTCTCAGCCTCTGTTCATCTATTGAGGGCAATACAAGCCCAGGCAGGTATTACAGCTGAGTGCCTTCACAGTGCTATGCAAATACAGATGCAAATGAGCTTTGGCCCTCAGACTTCTGGCAAGTTATGAAGACGGTCCCTGGTGTTAAGAGGTATCTCCTGCTGCACAAAATGGGTACAAGCCTTCAGACCCTTCCCAAACGAAGTTTCTTCCTGAAGGCAGCAAGATTTGCCTCTGTAAAGGACACAGAACCAGGACAAAACCAGTGTACCTGCTTTTCTAAGTGACCATTGCACAAGGCTTGCAGATGGAAGGTTGCTAAATCCCGGAGGGCACTGACAGGTGACTAGATTCCAGAAAGAGAGGAAACTCCACCTTAGGAAACCATTATTGCTTGTTGCAGACAAGGCTGTCAGGAACACAGGTAATGAAGGATTAGTACTGGAGAGACAGGAAAGAAGTAATCTTAAAATAATTTTTGAATTCTTTTTGTGCCCAAGCAAGGCAAATGTAGTGGACATAAACAAACGGTCACTTTCTCACACACGTGCAAAATCTCTTAGGAGAAATAAACAAAAAAACTGGAGTACAGCAGAGCAAGGTTATATTCTGAAGGAACGAGGATTTTTAACTTGTACATAGTAGTCTTAACAAAATAAAAGACTGCCACTCTTATCCAACACCCTCCTTACAGCAACAATACGTAAAATCCAAGTGTCCTTCTGAGCCTAGCTGCTTTCTCCTTTCCTACGTAACTAAAAAACAAAGTGGTTTGTGCCTATAACAACCATTTATAACATCTTTAAAAATACAATTTAATGCCTTTGGCTTTTCATTATTTTGAGCAGCTTAAGTCAACTGGGAGCAAGATCCATGGTTCTCATGTTGTTGTGTTGTAAGAACACAACAAATCAAGTTCTCATAGCAGCAGTCTGCCCTACCAAAAGGGGTAGCCTTAACATAAACGAGAAGAGAAACATTCCATATCGATCATTAGATAAATAATACTTAAGGCAAGATATGGCACCTTTAAAAGTGCCTTTTCAGTCTTGGATTTTTCCCTGCTTGTTACTACAGAAACCATCTAGCAACCAGAATCTGAGACAGACTCCACCCAAAACAGAGAAAAACAATATAGACAGAGCAGGCTTTTCCTCCCCCCTCCTTTTTTCCCCCCTTTTTTTTTTCCCCCCCTTTTTTTTTGTTTGAGAGGGTGGGTGAGTGCTAAGGAAAAGTATCTTACTGTGCACTTGGATAGGAGCATTTTGCATGCAGTTGAAACAGTAAAGCTCTGATTACAGATGGCAGAAATGAAAGCAGGGAATGACTAATGAGCAATGAGAAATGCGTAATGCGGGATGAGGATATAATTTCCACACATCGGCTAAAGAAAGGTTTACACTCTTAAGCAATAAAAACAAACCATTAAGCCAGACCTGCACTGTCAGGAAGTATAAAACAGTTCTTGAAACTCTGCAGTTACTATACAAAAGCTTTTCATAAACTTTTGTTTCCTGATCTTCATAAAACATTAACATCAAGCTGCCATATGGCAATTAGCTGCCTCCTGAAATCAATTAAAAAAACCCAAAATCAACAATTTAGGAATAGCTGTACAATAAAATAGTTTGATAATTATCCTCTTCTAATAGTGTAGCAAAGTGGGTCTAATATAAATGCAGCCCAGATGAGCTCCTTCTTCAAAGCTGAGAGTACAATAAATCATGTTCCTCTCCAAGCCTCATCAGTACTGATTGCACAAGGGAGACCTCTAACTGCCTAGCAGCAGGCAAAGCAGGTGATAGTCTGTGGACACCCAAACCCAATTATCATATGAGCAGGAAAGGTCTCAATGCCTGATTATGGTGAGCCCAGGTTAGCGCAGCAGAGTAGATCCTGCTCAGTGAAAATGGCCAATGCTCTCGGGAGAGCTTACCTCAACTGAAGATCTTCCCACGTCATTTTTACATGTTGCTGACCACAGAAGTCCAACTGAATTTTGCGCAAAAATTATCAAGCCACTCGACAAAGCTGTTACTGAGTCTCAAAAGGACAAGGAGAGATGCTGATCACATTTGTGTTTAGAGAGATGCTTATCTGAAATGCACAAAGGGTGACATTATCTATCACAATCTCTGCCTATATAGATTATATAAGTGCCTAGAAGCAATATGTTTAGGGGAAACAGGCTATAGGGTAACAAAGGCAGTTTTGCCTTCCAGATCTTCTGCTTTTCCTCCTCTTAAGAGGAAAAAAAAAAAAAAAAAAAAAAGCTCATTTCTTGTTGTAGAGTACTATAACACTGTAAAGTACTAAAGAGCTAAAATAAATACCGGAGCACTGTGGTAACAGCATAGCTTTAGTATTTAAGATTATTTAGCAGTCATTATCAGATTTAGATGATGTCAGAAAGCCCAAACCTTTCAGAAGGACCGTCTGATCATCAACCCTATTTAGCAGAGTTCAGGAACCCAACTGATCTCCAGGAGAATTATCTACTACTCATGTATGAAAGTTTGGTTTGCTTCTGTTATTTTAAATCCTAAACAAACTCTTCAGTGCAGCACTCTCACATCTCCAATCTGGAGAGTGAGATTAAGGGTTAAGGATTTAAAGACACATTATAAAACCAACTCTGTAGAAATTTTCTGAGCTTGACACATGCATAGTTCCTCCTCAAAATCAGTATGGAACTGATGATTCTGTGACTAATACTAAGCAGGTATAGAAATGCTTGTAAGAGTGGGTCTTAATGGGTTTACAATTATACATTGGCCTCACAAAGGATGCAATTCTTTGTCAAGCAACGGGAGGTTTGCCTTTACAAGGAATGCGGCATCACGCCATGAGCCAGCTACTGCTCATGCATAGACAAGCGCTGTAGCCAATTTTTTTGAAACAAGATTAGCATCAACGTGTTCTCATGCCTTAGAGGAGAAGTAAAGCAGCCACCACTCCGTAAAAAGGCTCCCTCAATCTAGTTACACACGAAGGGCTAGGAGCTGTGAAATGCAAGTCTTGCAACACTGGAGTTTAGGATCTGGTTAGAAGTGCCATGGAGTCTTTACTGATTTCAGCAGGTTTGGGATCATACCTTTCCTGCTCATAAAAATGGTGCAATCTTCAATTTCTAATCACTATATATCCAGTTTTTGCAAGCTCAGGTTATAGAGCGTGCTGGTGCTGCTGTGACTTGACTACCACAACCATGCATCGCAAACAATCAGTGAATTCTTCAAGAACCTTCACTGTGGCATATCCTACGACTGACAGCCCTCCCAAAGCAACAGCCAGAAACTCGCTCATCACCAGTAAAGCTGGCAACAAGCAAAAGGCAAACTAAACTTCTGCGCATATGACCCTCCCCCCTTAAAAACATAAGCCACAAAACAGCACTGATTTTTGAAAAAGCAAAGAGTTGTCCACCCAGTGGACTCATAGGCTACTATGTAGGATCAGCATGACCAATAACATCAGCTACCTCTCAAAAATAAGCAGAGCCAAACCGCAGAGTTTGTTCTCTACTAGCTATTAAAAATACCGCTGGTGCAAAGAAATATGTAAGTTTTTATCTCGCTACAGAAACTTACAGCTAGCCTAAGATGATTTGCAGCTCACAAGAGAAAAATAGAAGCAGTCAACAGGAAATCAGGTTTTTTTCCTCCTGGCCTCTGTACCCATTGCTTTTTGTGATAATTAGCAGTAGAGGATTGTTCTATAAAACGACCTGTAAGACATCATCAAGTTAGCCTTTCTGATCAACAAACCTATTTAGTACCTTCACTGTAACCCAGGTGATTCTAGCAAAAAAAGGTGGAGTTTGGGAAGGGCAATGAGAAAGAGGAGGTTTCTGTTAATAAAAAGTTAGGCCAGTAGGAGGCCCGAAAGTAGGAGGCCCAAATCAGAGATTCTCAGAGTTGACTGCAAGAGGTCTCCAATGGGCCAACTGTACACATGGCTTCAGGAAGTGCTGCCTCAGCTCACCAAATCCAGACACAGATCCACCACAGAGCACAAAGGGGTTCTGACATCTCTGGAGGTATCAGCACAGAGTCACTATATGCCCACTAAATACAGCGGAGAGCTCCTGAAAGAGACAGGAACTCACCACTGCTAGTCTAACAGTCTAACTGCAGTCTAACACAATTTCATTCTGTTCCCGGCTTCAGCGCACTTTGCAGCAGATCACCAAGAGGCAAATTGCAGCTACTCTCCGCTCTACTATTTCAGCACAACTTTCACAGAACAAGCAATCCAGCCTCCGCATGCTCGTCCCAGGTTCTACAGCTACTAACCTGTCTGCCATACCAGTCTTTTAACACACAACAGCCACAGTAAGTATTAGCTTTAATGCTGTGTTTGCCAACAGCGAGTCATGCTTTCGCCCCTTACATGAAGGATTTAAAAAGTAAGAAGATGTAAGCACAAGTCGTCCTTGTGATGACTGCACAAGTGAACCATTTTTTCTTACAGACTGGACTTTTCAGAAAGAAATATCAGAATTCTATGATTTATTACCTGAAATAGATTTAAACATTTGGCAAGAAAAAAAAGCTTTCAAACACAAAACCCTGGAGAGGAAGATAAGCTAATCTGCAAAACAGCAAAACCATCAGCTGAGGTTAGACAGGAGGCAACAACATACAACAACTTGCTGTAGGTAGGGTAAAAATTGAAGATTAATTTCACTATAACACTCCACAGAAGTGAGCTCTCCTCTGAGGTGAGGAAGTATGAAATGCTTTTCCAACTGTTAAAGGGCCGGCACAAATAAGAGAAGTATTCCTCTTTAGCATACATAATGACAAAAAAAAAAAGGATGACATTTTAGCTTTTATTATTTTATATTTGGCCAGGACTTTTAAAGGAAGGACTTTTAAACATCAAACATTCACTTTTTCTGTAGGTCTAGAAAGGATTCAGTCTTCCCCCACCCCCATCTCCCATAGGATTTCTATTGGCCCTTCTTATATTCACGCTGCAAATTAGTTGGGAATAGCAGTATTTATACTAGATCAGCAACGTCTGGTTCTTATCCAAATGTTCCACCTAAAGAGGATGCCAGTTCTCATGGATTGGACAGCCCACCCTGCAGCATTCCTGAGAATTGTACAATATAATAATCTTGAAAGTCAGCAGAGTGGATTATCCACTTTTTTCTGGACTTGAACTTGTGACCTTAACAGTAGCACAGCAGAAAGCAAATGTGCTATGCACTTTGCCATAGTAACCTTCCATGTATTCTTTTCATCTTAAATACACACAATTGAAACAGCTACAATTTTGGAAAATTATGTACAAACCCTATATTTTTTTCTTTTTGATTACATATAAATACAAATTAGCTATTCTTCTAAAAAGTGGTTATAATAGTAAATAAATACAAAATAAGAATCTGACCATTATACTTCATGTGCTGGGGGTTAAACCCATATAAAATGTACAACTAAAATACATTTAAAATCTTTAAAGGAATATTTCTCTGATTAAAATATTTGTTTTCCCAACTTTTTCGTAGACATAAATATATTTTCAAAATAGTTGTGTTTTTTTTTCTTTCCATTTCATTACATAAATAAAGTCTTCATTGGGAAATACTAAAGTGTCAGCTTTTTTTTTTTTTTTTGTGTCTAATATATTTGCTGTGTTAGCGGCACCCACAACCCTCCACAACCATATCTTGATAGTTCTTTAATACAACTTTTTCATTTTCATCAAGGTAGAGCATGGAAATAGCACTCAGTTCTGTCGGCACACAGCAAGCCTTGGGGATTTTGGAATTCACTGAATTGACCAAAGTCTGAACAATGGCATGGTTTGTTGAGTTTAGATGATCTGCCAGTGGAAAAGGACATTCCCCATGGCAGTAAAAGGCACTATACCCCGGTGGGGCAACAATCCAGTCATTCCACCCCACATCATTGAAGTCCACATATAACGGATGCCTTTTGCAACTGTATTTGTGGCGTTTACGCTGTTTGTGTTTCACTTGACGCTTTTCTCTTTTATGAAGCGGGTGTCCCTTGCCATCATGCCCAAAAGTTACTAATAAAGGCCTGAGCTGAGACCAGCTATCTTCATCCTGATGTAAAGACCTGCTAATCCTAACGTGCCTCTTGGAGGCACTGTTCTCTTTGTCCAAGTGAACCACCTCTACCACAAACCCATGATTAGGTTGTCCATGTGCAATCCACCTCAAAACAGCTGGCGTTACATCAAAACTTTCCCATTTACTTGCATTATGATGCACCAACCTGGTGTCCAAAAGTCTTGTGACAGGGTCCTTAGAGGTGGCTGTGGCTGGCTTTATAATTTCATAAATATTAATACGGTGATGGTAGCTGCTGTTGTTCTCAAAGGCTCCGTGCACCTGTTTCCGAAAAATCTGGAGTTCAGCTGAGGTGATAGACTCCTCATTAGGGATGGAAGTTAAATTAAAGAAGAAACGCCGTGCTGTTTTCCCACTTGTTTCTGGCAGTTCTTCCAAAACTTCTAATTTGATTAAACAGGAAAAATTAAAAAAAAAAAAATTAAAAAAAGAAAGAAAGAAAGAAAGAAATCAAGAACTGAGACAAGTAACCAAACCCCTCAGACAGTCTGCTGTCAGCAGCTTTCAAATGACAGCTAACGCATGCAACACACAAGATCTGAAAGACTTTCAGGCAGAAAATACCATCTCCCTTGTCTTTCTGTTTACTGATGCAAGCATGTACAGCATGAAGTTAAGAATGCTTCTTTCATTGTTACACGTTTTGATTGAACACTAGCGCCTTTTCCAGTTATAGTAAGTGGCAAGAAACACACAGCATTACTTTGGAATGCAAGGACATTAGTGAGAAAACTCAAGCGCTATACTTAGTGGGGGTCTGATGAGAATCATTGAAACTGGTGGAGGACTTAAGGTAACTATTGCACTTCTGCTGTTTTCAAGAACATGGCTCTTAACGTCATTCCCTTAAACTCCATTCTGAAAAATATTACTCTGCAATGTAGGTGACTTACAAATCTTAACGCATGGATTTTTGTATCTTAATTACAGACGGTAAACTCAACACCTGTAACGGCACTTTATGAAGCACACCCCAGTATTTACCCAAAAGGGCCATAAAGAATGGCAGGAAGGTTCAACTGCTAAAAAGGGGTGGATGGTAAAGGGATAACGAAACACAGTCACTTCTGAACAACAGGTTTTCAAAACCATCAAAAAAAATGAATTTAAAAAGTCAATAAACCCCAGACCATCCTCATCTTTGAATCAACCAATAATGGAATGGAGCTTCAGAGGGAGTCAAACATATCTAGGGTAGCGAAGTAGTACATTGTTGCTGCAGACATCGAAAAAATTAAAAGTATTTGCAAAAGCAAATCTCTCTCAAATCATGGGTTTTAGTTTTGGTGCCAGGCATCCTGGATAAACATTCGCTTTCCAAGAGGAAGCCGTAACTGCTGTTAGCAGTTCTCGGTCATGTAACGATTCCCTGTTGAAACCAGTATGACTTTTTGCATAAAGTAAGGCTCAGCTTTATGGTATTTCAGGACCAGACCAATATCTGTAAATATGCAGGTGATTTGAGTGGTCAGAAGACAAACTTCTGCTTTCAAGAAGCCACTAATACAGAGTGAGAACTCAGGACAAAAAAAAAAAAAAAATGGAGTCACACTGATTTTCTTCTAAATTTTTGTGAAAATTATAGAATAGTTTTTATGTCAAAAACAGTCTTTACTGTCACAGTATGACTACTTCAAACTGTAGATTTTTACATTTGCCTAAAAATTATAGACTTTGCCCTTTCAGCTCCTCTCTTGCTCAGTCCCTTGTCTACCATACCCAGGTTTAATGTGAATGACCCCTGCATCAGCTTTTCCCCATTCACTGCTAGGTGTTTACTTTCCACGTAGGGAAATGCTGATGATGAGAGGTTACTTTTCATCATTCATCTCCTCTCTCATGATAAGGCTTTCCACTAAACAGCACATCCACTTCTCCGAGGCCACCACCTTTATCCATCAGAAACATTAAATACGAATAAATTTCTTTTCTCAACACAGTTTCGCATTAAAAGCATGGGAAAACTGCATTTTCGTTATTTTTACAGCAGGGCCACTACATGCCAGCACCTGAGACTACCAGCCAGGAACAATTACAACCTGGGGAAATGTTTCCCAAAAAGCACGCGAGTGACACGTGCACCACTGGCTTCACGGGCCTAGTCGTGCCGTTGCTACCACCGCGGTGACTATTTTGGCTGCATGAACTGGGAAATGCACCCGGTTGCTCAGTGAGAGCCTGTCCCAGAGGGTCCGCTGCCTCGGTGGGCTGCAGGCGAGGAGGGGTGGAGATGCCCCGCTCTGCATTCGGCCGGGCTACTTGCAGGTGAGAGCCGAAACCCGGCCACAGGGCTTTTACTAGCCCGGCCGCCGGTGGCTGGGGAGGCGTAGCATGGGTTTGGGCTAAATTGCTCCTCGACGGTGGGGCGAGGGAGCGCTTGAGGAGGCCACGATTGATTGTTTCATTGATCTCTCACGGGGATTAGGTAAGGATTAGAAACCTCCGCAGCGGCCCCCGCTCCGCTGCGCATTAGGGAACCTTTTCCTGCTTTTTAGCCTCGCAACGGAAAAGCTATCTGTGGGAACGCTTAACGCGGAGCCGCTCTGTTTTAGCGGAAAAAGTAAATAAAACAGGAGGCTCTCGTCGGACGGAGCCAGGAGGAGGAGAAGAAAGGTTCGCAGAACAAGCGCGCCACAGCACAAACCCCGGAGCCTGCACCCGGGGCGCTGGGAGCAGCACACC